CTGCTCCTAAGCTTCAGGCCATTATAAACCTATCTGACTACAAGTTTGAGTTTTTTGTTTTTTTTTTTTTTTTCATTTTGCTGGAGCCTTTTGTATGAGCTCAGGAGTATACTACAGGAATATTATCTGCAGAAATATTATTTTCTGCTGAAGCAAGGGATTCTCATTTTTTCCATAGCATACCCATTGCATGACACACTCCAAAGGCTTACTTAGACTCAGTATAAATAGTGGCACTTGCTGATCATGTCACCACAAGACTGCTTTTGCTAATGTAATTAGTCTGGCCTCTTGGGTCATCAGCAAGGGTTGTAGAAGTTCAAGTGCCTCAAAGTTTCTCACTAATGCATAGCCTCCGTGTTTTCCATTTGCATAGTATGGAGATCCATTGGTCAACAGTATCAGATCCAAGGTCTGTAGAGGCTGATTTTACTGATCTGTCCATAAGTGGCTGAAGTGAAACACCTCATGGCAATCATGATACAGCTCACTGTTGGAAAGAACAAATAGTAGAGTTGCTGAATTCAGCATCCTTTTAAAGTAGTAATAATTAAATTAATGATTTTAAATTCATAACAGTTCATTTTTTGAGGGGACAATTTTTGTCTATAATATTGTTTAAGCATCAGTTCTACTTTGTTTTACACAGTTATGTGATCGATAACTACTGTTCCTTTTACAACTTGGAATATCCTTTCTTTCTCCAAACTCCAATTCCTCTTTCTTTGCCTTGATAGCTTAACTGCTGTAGCCCTGGTAGTTAGGTTCTTCAGTACCCTACTGTGCCTAAAAAATTCCTCACAGTTGTTTGCTTTGTTACTTTGTTTGGTCAAGATATTTCTACCATAGCCTTGGACCTATTTTGGGTCTGCTTTGTCCTTTTGAGGTATACTGGGAAGAAAGATAGTCTTCTTTCAAAGCTGGAAGGGGTTTCCTCCCTTTTTTTTTGTTTTGGTGGGGGGTGGTGGTAGTTGGTTTTTTTGTGTTGTTCTTTTTTTTCTTTTTTTTTTTGTTTGGGTGGGTTTTGCTATTTGTTTATTTGTTTTTTGTTTTATTTATAGATTAAGCCCAAGCATCAGTTCTGCATTAGCGCTGATTTTTCTCCACAGCTTTGTGACCATGGTTTTCAGCAATTCTGGTATTTTTAGCTCCTTTTGTATGTTTTTGGTGATCACACTCCTTCCCATAAAGATTAGATCTATCCATTCAGGTAACAAATGTAATTCTGTGTCTCAGGTCTGTAAGAGGTCTCTTTTTATGCTGGGGAGTCTTCTGTCAATGTGACCCTTCCACAAACACTCTTTTTCCAGTTTGTTCTTTGTAAGCAGTTACCTCTCTCAGCTTGTGAATTGCATGCCAGCTACCACTGTCACATCCTTACATTAGGAAGTGGGAGAAACAGCAAGGTTTCTGCTTTGGTGTATAGTCTCTGATAGCAGTTGCAAGCTGGGCTCCTTGTGGTGTTTGTCTGAAGTCAAGGCTTTCTACAAAAAAATGTTTAAAATGAAAAATTTAAAAAAGGTGAAAGCACACTCTCTCAGTACAGGCTAGTGAAGAAACACAAAACCTAGAGATACCTCTTTCCAAGCAAAAGTCTCACTTTTTGAGGATGGATTATATAGATGGATTATATAGATGGAGAAACTTGCTGAGAGCTAGACAGCAACACTGGAAAGACAGCTAGATTTTGCTGCATTATTTTATATCCATCTGTTAATACATAGATATCCAGTTTCTGGGAAACCAAACAATGCAAGTTATAAAAGTATAAGTTCTGCTTTTCCAGTAGCCAGTTCTGTGTACATACTTATTAAAAACAGTTCTCTAGAAAGTCTTTTTATCTAAGTGCTGCAGTGTTAGCAAAAGTAATACTAAAAGTGAAGCATTATTGTGGGGAAAGTGAAAACTGCTTAAGTATGTTTGCTCTGTATGATTTAGAGTTTTAACAATATCTCTCATACAACTGAGCTTTTTTCTTTAGCACTGTGTAGTTCTAGTACCTGGTAATTTTAGTATTTACAGATTCTTTCCTGCTAATAATAGTTCAGTTGCTTCTTCTGGGGAAAAAAAAGCTAAGTCTGTTGAAACACAGATCTCTGTTCTGATTCCTCAGTTTAGAAAGTAAAGTGATAGGCAGCTTAGCCAACAGACTGGGCTGATGTAGTAACAATCCAGGAAAGCTGTGGTGAAGTAGGGAATGGTGGGACACATATTCAGGTGAATACAGATTACAGATGTAATTTTAAGACACAGAAAAACCACTTTAAAGAGAGGCTAAACTAGGTAACTAGGAAAGAGTGATCTTCAGTTTTCAGAATTTTGTTTGTAAGGCCTCAAGTAGATGATCCACAGAACTCTAAAGCTTTTTTCTTTTGTGTGGTTTTGAAGACAACCTGCTTACCAGATTATATAGACAAGCAAGCAGACAAAATTGGCGTCTGTTTGGAGAGGTAGTTATTAAGCATGCATTCAGAATGTACCCCAGTTCTTTGTCAGTGATATACAAGATGGCTCATGCTTTGTCTTGATTTTGTTGCCTTGTTTTATTGTCCCCCAAAGGATAGATGGCCCTTGGGCTTTGTGAATTAAACTGAGTCTGTATTAGGACATAGCAGAGGATTAAAATTGTGGAGCTTATGCTATCACTGCCAAGCTCCAGTCTGGTTTTATTTACATGCAGAGCTGAAAGCTGGGCTGTCTTTTTTAACTGATTCACAAGCAGGTCACATGAACTTTTGCCCCAAGGGTGACTTGTCCTACTAGAGAGAGACAGGTGTTGCATACTGCCTTAATCCACTACTTCATGTCTGTCAAACCAATTAAAGATGTTTTTGTGGCACTTACTACTGTATAAAAGACTTTCTAGTGTTTAAAATACATCTGCAGTAAATTAAGCCACCTGTTAAAATCAAAGTGAGAGAGCATGGCACTCAAATTGGAGTAGAACACACAGCTCCATCCAGTACGCTCAGTGCTGCTGACATGTAATATACTGACATGTCTGGCAAGGAGACTCGTTTTGAAGTTGTTTTGAAGTACTTATAAGCAGTACTGGCTGACAAAATGAGACACTATCTTTTTAAAATTACTTCTGCATTTTCTTTTTTTGGCATTGTTTTGCTAGTTTGAAGGAGCTCTTTGAACCTCAAGGTGAAATTGAGGTTAATAGTAAATATGTAGGGATTCTGACTACTGCATTCTTGCCAAAGGAGTCTTTTTAGAATAATTGATGCTTCAGATAGCCAATGAGAGAGGATCAAAAATAAATAACATCGTAGTCTTCTAACTAAAATGAGACCAGAAATTAGTAGTAATTTTCCCAAGCAAGAGTCCATTTAGAATTAACCCTTACGTAGCTGGTAGTGTAGTTGAGATGTGTGTAGAGCAGATGTTTCCCAACAGCATGTACTGTTCTAGATCATCTGTAATTTTGCTTTGTGTTAAACTGTCCTGATTTGAAAAGCTTACTCAGAAACTGATTTCAAAAGTTGTCCTATATGGAGAGATTACATTGTAATTTGGGTAATGCAAATGTGCTCAGTGCTCTGAGGGTCGAGTAACTTCAAGCCTGAGAAGAGAGAATTACTGGAATGTATTATGTCAGGTGGTTTGTAGTTTAAAGAAAAGCAGAGCTGGAGTTGCTTCTGTACCACATATAAAACTATCTTCTCTGTACAAATATGACTGTTCTTACTGCATAACAAAAAGCTTTATTTACTACATTCACCAAGTGGATAGTTCTTTGAAGCTTTCTCTTTACAAATGGTATTAGATTTCATCCTCACCACCTAAGCTTTGATCAAAAATATTCTGATGTGGGCATTTCTCTGGGGCTGTGAATTAATTTGCATATTAATATTGTGACATAAAATGGCCTTTTTTCTCTCTATGTTCTAGCAACAGAGGTAGCCAGGACTGTCACTTGTCCACTAACCTGAGTTCAGTAATCTGCTCAGCATTCCATGGTAGTTCAGTACTTCTTGTGGGAACAGTAGCTTAGATCTGAGACCAATCTTCCTGTTTCTTACTTGATTGACTTACACTGTTGGCTGAGAAAGTTGTTGGTTTAAATATAGAGGCCTAGTAGACAAAATGGCTTGCTTCTGGAGATCTTGGTCCCAGAGGGAGAACAGAATTTGGGAAAATGGGAAAGGAGGCACATAAAGAACCGTAGGTCTTCTGCTAGATGTATACAGGTTGAGTGTAAAACTTCAGGTTTTTTCTATTATAATTCACAATTTCTTTTCATTCATTCTGCCCAATCTGATCCTCCTCAACTCCAACAATGGCTGAACAAAACTCTAAAATCCTAAGTATATTTTATCTTAGAATATGCTTATGTTCTAGAATCAGTGGTGTTGAAGTCTTTCTACTTACTGTTTAGGTCTCTGCCAGCTGAACTCAGTGACCTTTAGTGTCGCTGAATGCTTCTTTTCTCCACAAAACAGCAGTGTGAGGAGGTGACCCTGTGCTGGTTGCTTGATACTGTGGCCATGAGCTTAGAGGACCCGGAGGCTTAGACTTCTAAACTGAGCTCATCTGGCAGGAGGTGTGTTGGTTCACAATCAACACCTATCTGTAAGGGGTCATTCTCTTTCCTTCACCTTCATTGCTTCTGCTGCCATCTTTCAATTAGTCTTTTCCATTGAAGCTTCTCCACATCATCCTGTACTATGCTTTCATGATCCTTGAAAACATGAGAGAAACAGTTTTTGTTCTCCTTCTCTGTGACTTGTGAGCAAAATGAGATTTTTCTTTAGACTGTGTTTTCTAGAAATCTCTGACTTTCAAAGCCCATAATATTTTGCAGGTTCATCAACACAGAAGGTAAAATAAGTACGTGTCTTTCAAGCAAACAGTGTCTGGCAACATTAGCTATGAGGAGTTTTAATGTTCTGGTGGATTTGGGTTTGGATGTGTAGCCAGCTCACTTCAGTAGTTTGGTAAATGCAATTGTGTTACTATTGAGCTGTCAGTAATCCCTGCGTGTGTTTGTGTAGGCCCAAAGCGAGTACCCAGGCAGGGAGAACAACAAGGGTTCAGTAACAGAGGCACAGAGGGGAAGCAGGACAAAACGGAATGGAGACCATCTTTCAGGGAATACCGTCCCTATGGAGCACAAAGACAAGTGGAATTTTCAGTGGAACGGTATGTATCCTGCAGAGAGAAATAAGGTCCCTCACAGAGGATATTAGTGTGCAGGTTTTTTTGCAAGACTACTTACTTCATGCCTGTAAGAGCTGTAGTTTCACCTTCCTTGGGGGTTGAATTGGTACATTTTTTGTTGAAGGTTAGCAATATAAGGCAAAACTGAAAAATGTAAAGATCTGAAAATGTGCCCCATAGTCAGCAGCATATTTATAATGTTAGTTTCCGAGCTCACATACCAAGCCTTGCAGAACATGTAAGAGGTTGCAAACTGGAATTTACTGCTTGGACAGTGAATGCATGTTGATTTTTCTTTTTTTATAAATATTAGCCGATTCCACCTAACCCTTAATGCTTCAGAATGTGGCTGGTCTTACTTTATACCATAATAGTTGATATTTAACAAATTGTCTGAAATTTTAGCAGTTGCATATAAGTATGGGTTTAGATGGTGGAGCTATTGCATATAAAGTTGTGAAGACTTGACTGTTTTATAATGTTTTCTTTAGTTTCTGTAATGTTTTCAGTGTAAATAACTGCTGATCCTTCTGTTTGTGTGCTGTAATAATTCGTCTAGAGTTCAGTTTGTCCATTTTCAATGACAAAACCCAAACAGCTGTAGTGTGTACTGTATAAAGATGCACTCTACAAATTGTGCTGTAACTGTTATATACTGATGTATCCCATAGCTGCACAAACATAACAACATGATTTTTTTTCTTCTTCTTAATTGTTCTATAAAAACGAAAGTCTGACTAATTACCTTCTTCTTAGACCAGTGGAAAGATTAGACTATGAAAGACCAATAAGAGGCCGTGGTGGGGGAAGAGGCAGAATGAGAGGCAGAGGAAGAGGTGGTGGATTAATTGGAAGTTTTGATGGATTTGACCAAAGAAGAAAACGTGAACCGGAAAGACAAAGTGGGAATGATAAAACGTAAGTGTTCTGTATGCTGTTTCCTACTTCATATACAAGTAAATAATAGTCAGCACTGCAATACCCTTTTAGTTATTCTGTTCGCTTCCATATCCAGATTGGCTGGCAAAAAGTCTGTACTGGTTTTAGTTTGAGGTCATAAAAAAAGGCAAAAACCTCCTTAACTCATTGAATTTCACACCTCTCTAGAGGTGTGAAAGCAGATGACAAAAAGGGTGGAGGTAGACCTCACAACTACAGAACAGTGACAGATGGTATGAGGTATGTCATATACTTGTGCCCATCATAGATCATAATTTTCTGTGGCCTAGGTTAGATCATCATTTTCATCAGTTTCATGTCCATTTTGAGCTTTATAAGCATCGCTTTCTATTATTGTTGTAATTAATGTAATTTTACATTTTTTAAACTTGGCTCCTTCATGATGGTGAGATTAAATTGAAGCGAAGGCATGATGTTTGTTCACTTAAGACAGCCAGAATCTTTTGACTGGAGTGGAGTTTTCTTTTAATGGAAATAAGTTATTATTTTTCTCAATAGTCAAGTAAATGGTATTTAAAGGAATTGCTCCAAAATGCTAATTTTAAGATTCAAACTCTGTTACTGGGTTTAAAGTCTGTCGTAGGAAGGAGACCAGGACACCAGCTGGTTCATCACAGGTCCAACAGGTCCAGTTTATTGAAGAAAGTATCAAACACTTATACAGCAAATAATAAGCTTATGAATATTCTGTAAGCCAAGCAATCTATTGGTTAAACTATACCATGAACTCTTCCTCATTCCTTAGGGGTTACATCTCTCTTTTCTTATGTCTCTCACTCTTTGTTATCCTACTACTAGGATAGGCCCAAGTTATACTACTACTTGAGCTAGGCCCAAGGACACACTATCTTTGCAGGTGCAGGAGTGGGAATTAGCCATGGTTTTGTACTTTTCCAGTCCTTAGCCAGCCAAACTCCCAACAAAAGTCTAGTCTCTTTTCTGGAGTTTTATGGATAATTTGTAAATTGCAAAATGGTAGTACATTTCAGTGTGGTTCTGAAGGTAATATTCAGTTGACTGTACCATGGAAGTACATTTTGAAGTGATAGAAAAATCAGTAGCATAATGTGATTAATGGCCACTTTGAGGTAAAAAAATCAGGACTTCTCCATTCAGTTCTGTATATCTCTTAGGGGTACTGATTTCTGTTCAGATTTGTGAAACTTCACTGATTATGTTGGCTTTTATCCATTCTTTGTACCTAGCAATACATTGCTCTTTCCAGTAGCTTTTTTCTCCTATACATCTAGAACTCTTTAATTGAAGGCTGGTAAAGGATGGAGAAAAAGTAGTGCCTTGAACTTGTAGCAAATATATTTGGCCACATACACACTGATTGACAAAATTGTTTTAAAAAAAATATTTTAAAATCAAATCTAGTTTTAAAAGTCAATGGATTCAGACAATCATGCTGAAAGTTTGAAAAATATAGCCTTTATGTGTAATAATTTTTGGGTCTTGATACTCCAAATTCTTCTGAAAGTTGTATTAACTTCTCTCCCTCCTACAGAATTTCATATTAAGAGTAGATGGCTTAGGTACCCTGGCTTTTCAAAGAATCAGCTAGGTTAACATTGTTCTGAACTGATAGTTTTCTGCTAGCTTGTTTTGCACTATCTTCTGTAGGATATCAGGGAAGGCTTCATAAACTTACAAGGTATTTATTGGCCCTTACATATTTTCTTCCTAGTTGAGGTGGGTTTTTTTGAGTTTTTTCAGTTCAATAGCATCAGAACTTCTACCAATGTTTTCCTGTGATATGGTAGAAGTGACATAAAATTAAAGCTCTCTGAACAATTCTAAAAGCATGCGTCTGTGTCCTGATTGTGGTAATCATGCATTGAAGCTAAAAGGTGTTAATCTTAAATATGTATGCCTGCTACTGGAATGAAAATAAGTTCCTGCTGTCATTTGACAGTGAATTAAAGTCCATTTTACAGAAAATACAAACTTTAATTCTTTAAAAGAAGCAAAAAGGCAACTCCAAATGTCAGTGTTATACTGACAATTAATACTAATCATGATTATTATGCATGATGGAATTATTTCATCTTCCTACATGCTTTTATTTTTTTAGCGAAATAGGATTTTTTCCCAGTATTCCCAAAATATACTTGTTAATTGCTCAACTAGTCACTTAGTATATTTTTCTGCTTATGATCAAAGAGTTTTCCCTTCTTTTTTTCCCTCCTTACCAGGGAATTGTGGTAAAAGAAATAATGTATTGATTTGGGTTTTTTTCCAGTGTGAGTCATGAAGATGATTGTTTTGTTTTGGGTTTTTTTGTATGCGTTTTGTTTTGGTTTGTTTGCTTACTGTTTTAGTGGGAAGGAGCAGACTGCATCTGTGGAGGAGACCGTGGAAACTCCTGAACAGCCAGGGACATACGCAGGAGAGCCTCTGAGCAAGTACAGACAAATATTTTCTGTCTAAATGCAAAGGAAACAATTAACTCTTGCTGATGTACTTGTATTGAGGGGCACACTTGAAATGTGAACTGTGAAGTTTTGCTAGTGCATATATTTAAAAATAGAAAAACTTTGTTTTGTGTTTGTGAGTATGGAAAATATGTCCCTCATTCTGACTAAAGCTTGATTTATACAGCTGGAAATTGCATTTAATTGCACAGTGATGCTTAACTTCCTAAGATTTGGTGATGATTTAAGGAGGAGCTACATATGTTTTTCCTTTTTCACTTCTCTAATTTGTAGAAACAACCATGCTTTTTGTTCTCTGACAAGAGATATTTGAGGTGCCCATGCAATTGTACAAACACATTTAAAATATGCTGAGCTACTCTAAGTTTGTATTCACCAATCACTAATATCATGCAGATATCATCAATTCTTGAGAGGCCATGATAGAACTTGGAAAAAATTTCTGGAAATGCCATGAGCCTTAAAATAGGGAAACTGAGAGAGAAATGTCCCCATTGTCTTGTGGCTTTCATTCTAATCAGTGTCACGGCAAATAAATGAACACTGGCATAAGAAAACTAACTGGACAGTCTTGTCTAAGTAAAAGATTGAAAGAATAATTAAAGAGCATATGGTGCATATCTCCTAATGAGTGAAAGATGGTCAGTGCAGTACGTCAACCTCTTTTGTTGCCTTTTTTACTTCATGGAGCAGCTCCAGATATTAGTGATATGGGTTAATTTATTAATTATAAAGCTAACTAGATGACAAAACCTGTTTTATATGTTCAGGTTGTTTAACGCTGTCAGATGCTCAGTCGATATAACTTTGATTCTTTTAATTTTAGAGTAGATTTTAATATGTAGGTGAAGCTGTATATCCAGGGGGAAATCTGTCTTTGAATGACTTATGACTGAAAAAATGTTTTTAGGTTAATTTAAATCAGATGGGCAGTGTAGGTACAGTGGCAAAAATACACTGTATTAGCTAAATATGAAAATAGTTATTCAGCTTTTTTAAAATTTCAGTTTTGTCAGTTGCTGGTACCTTTGTTTGTTTCCTGCTTGTACTTGTTTCTACTTCAATTCAAGCTCTTTGTAGATATGTCCTGATATCTGTTCATTTGTAGAGCTTAAGACATGAGAAGTGTGTACAGTGGAAAAGGCCTCCAGCAGAATTTGCCAGTTATCTTTAACCCTTTCATCTTTCTTAGAGATCACTAGATATTCAGTCAGACTGGGAGTCTTTCTGGAGATTTTACTGCTGTTCTTATTTTTTTTAAGATTAATTTAGGCATAGTCCACTGAAATTCAAATTATTCAAAAAAGCAAGTAACCTACAAGCACAAAGTTCTGCACTTTCTCAATGTGTACTCCTTTCAGGGCAACAAATACTGTCCCAAAGGCCTACAAATCTATATACAAAACATGAGTTACATGTTTTGGGGGGTGTCAGCTTGGTGACCCTATGTATTTTAAAAGAGGAGATGCTGTGTGAATAGTGCCTAGGTCATTAGGGATGGTTGTATGGCATACACCTTAATAAGATGGAATTGTTGTTGTTTTAATGTTTAAAAGCTGAAGCTGGTAGGCTATGGTGTTCAGGCTTCAGGATGTCCTTAAAGGCCTGACATGCTTAGGTTGCCCCTGCTGTCCAGATAACACAAATTAGGCTCCCTTCTGCTTTTGCTACAGCCTCAGTGTTATACAGGGTTGTGTGTTTGCTTGGGCTGCTGCTAGGGTCATTCTCATTTTGACGCTAAAATGCAGTGACTGCAAGGTAACCATTTATTTTCTACTGCTTTATTGCAGTTGTGTGCTTGCATTGAGAAAGAGATTGGAGACTTGGGGTTGTTTCAACTCTCATTCTCTTTCTAGTCTGAAGTGTTTCCATTTAAAATTACAAGTAAAAAAATGTACTCTTGGAAGTTGGGAATAACCTGTCTGCATGAAGGTGGTGTGGAGCTTTCTGATGTGGTGCTGGCTAATTACCATGCAGCTCTGGAAAAGAGGTTCTGTGGGTTTCTGTGACTTATGGGGTCTTCCCTTTAAGACTCTGTTTTGCTATTCCTGAGCTTCTATTTGCAGAGTATTGCTGGATAAGAGTTTCTTTTATACTTGTGTGATGTAAGTCAAGGTGTTTCTTCCCATATCCTCAAATCTTGAGTGTATCAACAGTTTTTATCTCTAGTTATTATCATCCCAAACCGCATGCTAGTATAGGGGGCTTTTTTGCTGCAAAAGCAAAACTAACCTTGACCCTGTATAAAATACATAGGTAGTGCAGAAGTATAAACTTTCCTCACAACTGCTTTTGGTTGAACTTTTCACAGTTTAAACAATGTAACACACTTGTGTTGGCCAATTCAAATTAGATTTTTTGGTTTCATTCAGTACAACGCATGGGCTAATCAACTGCTGTTCCTAAAGGTATTTGTAGAGCTTGTATTTAATCTTGTGGGGTTTTCTTACTTTTTTTATTCATGTGATAGTTTTCCTTTTTGTGGAGCTATGTGTCATATTGGTTATTTAATAGGAAGCTTTAACAATTTATCTTCAGTGTTTTGGTTATTTATCTCATTTGTTTATTTGTTTTGTGGTTTGTTTTTTGTTGTTGTTTAATGGTGGTATAAAGCTTTTCCTGGACCAGGCCAGAGCTTCATAAGTATTTGATTGAGTGTTTTCTTCCATAGTAAGTTTGTACAATTGTTCTTACCTTATTTAACTTTAAACTTTTCTATAGCTGGTGATAATGCTCTTGTAAATAATGCTTAGTGGGAAAGCTTCTTGTCATTGACTTCTTGATAAAAGCTAAGCATTTGCTTTGTGCAGCTGAATAATACAAAAACTGATCTGAGAGAGACCTGCTGTCATTATTTTTAATATGAAAATAATAGGTGAATAGCTGAGCTAAATGGCATTCCTTTCCATTTACCTTCCTTCTGGCAAAAAGCAAAGGTATTTTGTTTTATTGTATGCACAGCAATCAAGGCATAGTTAAGGGGTTATTGTTGTCCACTGGAGGCACTGAAGCAGTAGGAACTATTACTGAAGGCTCTCATTTAGTGATTTTCTAGGACTTTCATTGTAAATTCAGTTTGTTCATGTCCAGAGGTTATGTTTAGTTGTCTGGCTGGCAGTGTTTTGTAAGCATGACTGCTGGTGTGCCAAGGAGCTTATTAAGTTGATAAATGAAAATGCACACTAAGCAGTTACTAAAAATGTATAACGTTAGAAGGTAGAAAGGTAATATACAGAATGCATTTCCATTCTGGCTTGGTGCCCGAAATAACTTGCTGCAATTAAGTTCCCATCCAAAATGTGGTATGCAAAATGTGGTAGGTTTTTGTTGGTGTGCTTCACTCATAGGTGCTTCCCCTTGAGAGTCTTGCCATCCTAAAACAAATTTGTACCCTAATAACCTAGCAATTAAAACCATCCTTTGGAGTAAAAACCAAAACCATACTTTGCAGTTGAAAAAACCAAATATTTGCAGCGTAAATCTGCAAGTATTTCCTTTGGAACTGGCAAGTGGGTGTTTTTGTTGTATGTATATTTTTGAAAGGAATAGCTGTCTTTGCTTTTTGTGAGGTCAAGTTGCTGTGTGGTCAAATGTCCTTGTGTTTTCTTATGATCATAGCAATTCAGACCTGAAAGGGGTCTTTTGGGCCCAAGGCATGATCAATTTTAATTGTTGCGTCTGAAACATGTCCAGTTCATTTTTATGTACTCTGCTACTGGAGATTTCAATGTCCCCTGATGGTCTTTCTAATACTTAGAAAAATAGAAGCTGCTATGTTAGTTTTTTTTTTCTCCTGGATTTCTTGCCTTAATGTAATGGATATGTAAAATTTTTTTAGCATTATGTACATTTCCTTTGCACATCTTTAAAGGATTCCCCATTGTGCATCAGGTGTTTCAGACTTGTGTCTTGCAGCGCTACTGTGGACTTCTCATCTGTTCCCATGAGAAAATTCAGTTCAGTTGAGATTTTGTTCCACCCTGCCAGCAATAACAGCTGTTTCAGACAAAACTGTTTATGTGGCTCCTTATCATACGTACTGTGTTGTTGAAGAAGGAGCAGATACTTGAGTGCAGTGCTCCTCCACAATCCAGAAAGTTGAGGTCCTTCCTTCAGAGCTTCTGCCTTGTCAGTGGTTCTTTCTATGTTTGGGTGGCTGATACTTTTGCCTGAGTGTACGTATTTCTGGTTGTTCTTGGGACTTTCTGGTGATTGTTGTTTTGGTTGCTTGTTTTCAAATCACTGGGTCACTTTAGCATCTCATACCACTGAATCAGAAGCTGTTCCGTATTCTTGAATACTTGCACTATTGCCCTTCTTTTGGGCAATCTTTGTGCCACAGAAAATGTAGTAAATATTATTTTACACTGTTAAACTCCCATTTGCATTCTTGGCTTGCTTTTGCAAATTGAAATATTGATAGCTAGTTCTCAAGTAGTTTTTGCTGTCAGTTCTGCATCTTTCTGCATCTCTTGCGAAGGACTGAAACATTGTGTCTCTAATGTGGTGAAACGTTCATGGAAGAGGAGGAAAAAAGACTTCCAAAATTCAGATATGCAATTTACTGAGATACGGCTTAGGAAAAAATTAAATCAGTCTAATAGAGACACTTTTATTAGTTATGTTTCTCTTTAATTCCTCTAACACTTATTCCCAAAACTGAAGCTTCAGATAATTGATCAGAAGTTGTTTGGCCTCTTACTCTCGAGGACAACAAATTGAAATGGTTTTGGGGCTATGTGTTCTTAGTGCTCTTACAGATGCAACAATATCTGTTGGTGTTTTTTCAGAAGTAGCTGCTTCTTTCACCAGTATCCTTTTTATGTAACTCAATAAACTATTTTTTTTCCCTGGCAGTCCTTCTAATACAGTTTCAGATCATAATGAGAAGGGAGTGACAGACTGATTACCAGTCTTTTAACCTTGAACACCTTGAATTTCTGGTTGATAAAGCTGGAATTTTCAAAACAACAGGGCATAAAGGCATGTCAGAGGGGCAGGCATGTAGTGCAGGACTTCTGTATTCGTTATTCTTCTGTGAAGTGAATTTCTAACTAACTTATGTTAATCCTAGAACTAAAATCAAGGGTTGCTTTAGTGTTCAGTTCTGCTTCTCCCTTTCATATGCTGGGTGTTTAGAAAAATACTGTCTGATTTTGGCAAGAAATATGAATGCTTTGGTGCAGAATCTGGTAAGAAGGACTAGGCCTGTTCCCATATAGGCTAGTTCTATACAGTACAGTCCCAAAAACTGTGTGTATTCCAATGAGTTGCTTGTACAACTTTGAAAACAAAATACACACAGTCACTGATTGTCATTTGACTCTGCATCTTTCCATGATAAAAAGTTCCAACTTGCACCTAATAAACTGTATATTTACATTGGGGAAATTATAGTTTTTTGGTAGGACTGTGGAATTATGACTGAATGCAGAAAACCAAATCCATCATTCTCCCACAAGACAGGTTCTAATGAAGGGGCTTTCTAGAAAAGTCATTGTTAGGGAAACACAGTCAACTCCAACTGCTATTGTAACACATAACAGTTTTCAATGTAAGGAGAAATGGTTTCTCAAGCATCTTGGAGTAATCAGTGTGGGCTTTCCTGTACAAGTCATGGTATTTGACTTGTTTATGCAGCAGACAGTTGTGGTGGTGTAGGACATTGTGCTCTCCCTGTATGTGATGCTGGTTAGTAGGTAATAGCTTTCTGTAGGTATCATTAAATGTATACCTGTAGTATTCTAAAACCTGGTGTCCTGGCCTGGCCTGTCTTGATCAGCAGCAGAAAAGTGGCAGAAGAGTACTTAAGCATGATCAGTGGAAGGGAAGTTGTTTTGCTTATGTAACTTGTCTTATCTCTGTGTATTACAGACATAAAACCTTCTGTCTTTACAGTTCAAAAATATGCAAGGCCGCCTCTGATGTATTCTGTATGTTTTTCTAGAACATATAGTTATTGTACTTAGTGACAAATGATAACTTGACTAGGATTAGTCTGATTTTGCCAAGTGATAAATACTGTCTGTTGCTACATCTGACAAAAAAATTCAAGGAAGCATCTTGTGAAATTAACAAAGGAAACGTTAATAATTACCTGTAAGATCCCATGGTGTGATCATCATATGGTGAACATTTTTGATGACTGAAAGCTACACTAAAAAATTAATTCACCTCATATTGTCATTGTGCAGTACAAAGCAATGAAACCATGCAATTGGTGTGTTTTAAAACTGCTCTGTGTGGGTTTTTTTTTGGTTTTTTTTTTTACTGTGGCTATATTTACTATGGGTAGATCCACTATTAAAATGTAGGGTTAAGAATATGCCAGATCAAAAGGCAGAATGATTTGTCTAGAATCTAAGTGCTTGAATTCAGGATGAGACTGGATGAGTACTAATACAGGAAGCTGCAGACAGCATTTGTTCATATGATTAATTTCAGAGTACATAAATATATACTCTTAAGTTATGTTAATATGAAAGTATCACATGAAGTTACTGTGAGGAGTAAGTGAAATTGACAATTTGGTGGGAAACATTCTAAATGTTTTGTTTAGTATCCTTACTTTAGTAGTTAAATGAGGTAAGTGCTCTTGTTTATCTTGTTGGTTTTTTTAAAAAGTTTTTTACTCTAAAACTGTGAACTTCTAGAGCTGCTGAAGGAGAGCCAATGGAAGAAGTGATTCAAGAAATGACATTAGATGAGTGGAAAAATCTTCAGCAACGGAATCGACCAAAGCCTGAATTCAATATCCGGAAGCCAGAATCCACTGTTCCTTCCAAAGCAGTGGTGATTCACAAGTCAAAATATAGTGTCGATGTAAGCACTGTCTCAGGAATTCTGTCAACCTTCCTTTATTGCCCAGGGATCGGAAACTGTCTCTATTTTTTTTCTACTAACTTTAGTATAATTGAATGGGCAAGAGAACAATATCTAAGCTTTATCACTGCAATGACACGTGCCCCAAAACTGGCTTTAAATTGTGTGACAATTGTCTTTGTCTGACATCATCCCCCCTTTTTTCTGTGCAAATATGTAAAATATCAAGTTGTTCTACCTTATGGCTCAGCTGCTGCCACCTGTATAGGTCTCATTGTAATGCTGCTAGAAAAACTTGGCTTATGAGTTTAATACACACTTCTTTTCCTCAGTTTGAATCCCGCTTAGCTTGCTTGCCAGTATGCACTTGTGTGTATCATAATATGCACTTGAAAATAGGAATTTTGGATTTTTAGGGTGTGGTTTTTTGGGTCCTGCTTCTTAGAACTAACCTTGGAGAGCTTGTGGTGCTGTAGTGTGCACGCCTCCCAATTTCCTCTTAAATTTCACTCCATAATGTTATTTAGGTTGAAATTTCATGGAGAAGTACTGAGGAGAGAGGGGAAGCTTCTTTCAGTTTCTAGCTTACTTAGATTTCAGATTTTGGGGGTCACAGAAGTATGTGCATACAGTCTAGCATGATGGAATTTTGATCCTTGAAGTCTACATGCATTTATGAATATGTACCTCTTCTCTCGTTATAATAATAATCTCAAAACTTGCTTAATCACTTTAGATTGTTGAGTCTGCCTTCTTTTTAGTGAGACTTTTTAGGTCAGAGTTGTCATTATCCCCTTTTTCTTTTCTGAGAGGTAGTGGTAGGGGTGGGGAGATACCTTCCACAAATTCTGAAGAGAGCAGGTATGTGTTCCTTTTGCCCATAAAGTTTCTCTTCTGGTAGTATCAAGAGACCTTGTTAGAGTGAACACAGAACAGGAGCTACAGGAACTGTGTAACATAGGCAGGTGAAATCCCTGAATTAGACATTGAATAAGTGACTCATCATTGTAAGGGATGAGTTAGCATAGACTTTATCATTACTACAGTCCTCATTAGCTATGCTGGGCAATAGTCTGACATGCACTAGCTATTAGGAACACATAGTTAAAACCACAGTGATCTCATAGCTGCAGGCATGTAGGAGGAATACATCGATTAAGTAGCTTTGGTATGGCCTTTTATCTATTATTTGGACATGACTGTAGGAGTAAGCAGCTTAGGTCTGATGCTCTAGTCTCTTTGAAAACCTCCTAGATTTATATTTCTGACAAACCTGTTCAGTATTATGGAGTTGGTATGGAAGCTTTTGTTACCAGGAATCTCTGAGCCAACAAAGAATGCATTTCCCAGCCATTTGGGAAGCTGCAGTTACCTCATGTGTGTTAAAATCCTGTAAAAGTTAAGGGCTGTCTTCTGCTCCAGATGCTATCTTGGTTCATCTGCTGCTTAGTCAATAATATAAGTGTGAATATGTATCTGGGAGGGGAGAAGCTCATATATGGAAAACTGTAGACTTTAACCAGATCTTCTCTTTAGTTGCAAAAAGAAGACTTTGAAGATAATTCTCATGTCTTTCGAAAACCAGTGAATGATATAACTTCTCAGCTGGATATTAATTTTGGGAGTCTTCCTCGCCCTGGCCGTGGATCAAGAGGAGCACGAGGTGGTCGTGGCAGAACACCTGAAGAGAGAGTACCTCGACCAGAAGTAATGATAATGGATTTTGTGGTGGTTGTTTTGTTCATTTGGGGTTTTTTTGTTTGGTTGGGGTTTTTTTCTGTTGTTGATGGTGTTTGTGTGTGTCCTGCCCCTTTTGTGTGGAATTTTGATCTCTGTAGTGATAGACTTGTTTTTAATTCCTGTCTCATAGTATGTTGTCATGCATATTGAGTTCCTGTCCCATATTATGTTACTTGAAATTAAATACCGATTCAGGCTCCCAACTTTTAACACATGCATTTCAAAAGGTCTGATTACTGGATGCTCTAATGGTAACTAGAGAAAAGGATGCAATTAGTTTTGATATAAATTGGGAAGTAATTAAAATAACTAGAGGCTTGTATCTCTTTGAAAAAATTCTGTGATACAGTGATACTTTGTTTACTAACAGTGAGATCAGTAAATCTGTGATCCTACAGGATGATTCATGTCTTCAATATAACCATTATATAAAAATTTCACTTACCTTTTCCTTTGGAATAAAAAAAAGCATTTGTACACTGGAAAATGGCTTCTTTATTCTTCATACTAACAGAAACTTTACTGTGACTAAAATGCTTTAAGACCAGGAACTTTCAGAATAATATGAAAGTGTTGATGCATTTGTTTCATCTGTAAGAAAATGGTTCTTTATCGTAACAGATCAGAGAGATTAAAATGACAACCCAATATGTTTGGTAGTTCTAGAATGTAAAAATACAGTAATGCTACTTCAAAAAATATGCTGTATTCTGCTTGAGACTGCTTAAATTTTCTTTCATTCAGTGCTGCAGAACTTGTGACCTTCTGGTCCTCTCCAGGGAGCATTATAAAAACATTCACACTGAAAAGAAACTATAGCAGTTGGAAGTTCTGAGATAAAAGCCTTGTGATAGTGAGGGATACAATTTGAGTAGAAGTAGCCTTTAGTAGTAGTAGCATTTGAGTAGAAGAATGAACCCTTTTGAGGGTAAAATACATATACACAGCTGTCAGATACTTTTGAAATGTATTCATTTTTATAAGACTTCTTTTCTTCCATTCTAGGTGCAGCTTGTTGCTCCAAATCCTGATGATCCTGAGGATTTTCCAGCGTTAGCTTGAGGACCCATCCTGAATGGTGGTATCTCAAAGTTCCTTTGTAACTGTGAAGAGGCCCGTTCTATGCTGATGTGGATTAAGGAAGCCAGTTTCCTTCTGGAAAGTTGTTTGAGTGTTTGGTGTGGAATGATTGCATCTGTCTGCTAATAGAGTTGTGTTCTGGAGATACGGGTGGATTTGGGATCCTGTCACAGCCTCCAATGTCTGCCTCCATTTAGGAAACCTATGGGAAGGCTTACAGTACTTCCCTACTTGGCTTCAAGTGAAGTTAAAGGGAAGAGTGTTTAAAAATGTATATATAGAGATTATATCAAGTTTTCCATGACACCATGGTGAAATATAAACTGTACAACACAATCCACAATTGGGAGTCAATTTCACTGTATATTTGAAAGTTGTTTCCTTTGAGTGAAGTGTATATTTCAGACAGTCAAAAGTTTCAGTTCAGAGTTTCACAAATAAAGAAAAGTGCACATTGGTTTGGGCTTGAGGTATTATTTTAAGAAGTCAGAGTGGTAGGTGGAAGCTTTTGCTATTTGGATATAGTCTGTGGAAAAAAAAGTGGGGGAAAAAACCCAAACCCTAAACAGCAATTTGTACTCATCAAAAAAAGTGAACATCTCTCTAAGTGGAAGTGATCTTTAAAATCAAGGCAGCATAGGTGCTTTGAATTGACACCCAACTAAGTCCTGCTTAAGCAACAAGATAGTCTGCAATTACTTTGAAGATTAAGTAGAATTTTAATCTAGACAGAACTAAATTATTAAAGAAGTTTTTAATTTTAGCAAGAGCAACTACAAACGAAAATGCTAAATGCCTTACCAAGAAATTTGTGATGTTGGGGATGAGGTGCAATGTTCTTTCATTGCAGCTTTAACATACTTGAGCCAGATTTTCTGTTCCCTGTCCAAGGGGACATTGAGAGCCATTCTGGGGGATATGAGAGAAACAAGAAAATGGTGCCAGAGGTGATGACAGAAAGAAATGAGTGGAAAAGCACACTGGGCATTTTGGAAGTAGCTGTCAGCCTCACAAGAGTCTTCAAATGCCTGCTCAACTTGAACACATTCTTTAAATTTTCTGGGAAAGCAGATGACTGTAAACCTTCCATGTTTTTCCAGTTCTGTGCCTCACTTCTAAGCAACTCTAAGCAGTCTCCTTTGAAAATAAATAATGGATGAAACTTAGAAGAAAAGTTTTTCTTTGGAGTAAGCTCTAAAAGTACGCACAATCTTTGAAGACTTTGCTCACTGATAAGGCTTTACTCAAATAGGATGTAGTCATCCTACAAAGACTCTTTTCTGTAAGCTCCAAACAGATGGTCTGCAGAGTAGGCAAGCCCAAGGGATTTGTTTTTGCATTGTTAAATTACTTATATGACAATGTGCTGTAACATGAGATTTTTTACTCTGCAAGAAGTTCATTGTAGTGGCATAGAGATGCTCTGACTTGCAGTAGGAAGAAGTGCAAAAGCAAAGTTTTGGTGGTAGAGGAACCCATGCTGCTGCTATTTGAGTAACTGAACAGGATGAAACAATGCACACCTCCTTCACTTTGTAGTCACGAGGTGTTACTTGAAACCACTGCAGTTTAAGATTTACCTGATGCTGCCCTTTTTACAGGTGTTGTTTGTTTCTGAAAAAAATGGCAATTTAATCAACGTGGAATATAAGTGATTTTGTCTGTGGGGTAGTTGGAATATTTTGCTTGCTCTTCCCTTCTTGTTCCTATTTTCCCATTGGACAAGGAAGAATGTGTCAATTTTTATTTATATTTTTACTTGCTGGGGTGAGTGAATGCATAGAGATGAGAAGAGCTTGGCAGAGCTTCCTTCTATTTCCTGTCATGTTTTGAATATAGCCTTCTTTTCCACTGACCTGTTTTTGCTAAGGAAAGTGTTCATATAAGTAACCCTCCCTTTCTCTACTAAAAATTAAATCTTTGCTATGCTGTGCTACTGGGCTCAATCTGCTGTGATGCATTCAGTTTTGTTCTGACTGTTCTCTGAGAAAGCCAAGAGAATTGTTTATTTTTCAATCTCCTTCCTGCTGTTGCAAAGTTACTGTTCTTCTAACTTTGATCTGCCTTTCAAAACAGAATGACAAATAGGTTCTTTGGGGAATGCTTTGAAGGACTTGTCAGTTTTGGTTAGCGGGTTGTAAACTCCTGGTTAAAAGGAGAAAAGGCTGGTTACAAGACTGTTTAATTAAAAACCGTACAAACCAACCAACCAAAACTAAAAAATACAACCCATCCAAAACTTTGTGAGAATGAGATTCAGTGTAATTGATTACTGCTTCAACCAGTTAGAGCATGTATGTATGGCAATTTTATTTTTCAGTTTGTCAGACTTGAATATGGCTTAAGAGTTTCTCTAGTTGATGGTATATCAAAGTATAGAAAAGAAATTAATTGTAAGTGATGACAGTGAATGCAATTTCTTTGCCTAGCTGTGAGAACTGTAAATCTCAGTCATCTGTCATATTTAAGGTACCAAAATAGCTGTATCTGTTAAGCACAGATTTGCTGCTATCACTCCTGGTTTAGCTTTATTCCTTCATGTAAAGCAGTTGGCAGCAGGTGTAAATATATATACAAACACTAGTAGAATACGGCATACATACTAAGAAGGGATTAAATTGTGTTGCAGGTCTTAGTCATGTTATTCTTTAATGCACTGCTACCAGTTACTCTTTGGATTAATGTAGTGAGTGGCCTAGGAAAAACCGCTGCATTTCAGGTTTAAGTTTTAGATTCATGTTATGTTGCAGAAAGTTTGCAAAGAAAGGAATTCACCTCTTCATTACTGTCATTACATATGATAATGTTGATATGATGTTGTTCAGTTGAATCATATGCAGTAGTACAGTTCAGGAGTGGCAAGTGTATATTAATATAAAAGTGCCTTTAGAAGAAAGTGGAGAGAAATGTCTGTGCTTAAGATAAGAATACCAAAGAATTAATTAAGAGACTAAGAGGTAAAAGCCTTGAGTTTATGAATAGGAATACTGGCCATTTGAGCCCATAAGAAATGAGCTTTCAGCTGGTTACACTTTTTTTTGGTATGAAAATGGGCCTTGGGGTAAAAGTATTGGGCCCAAATTCAGAATCTGTACCTCTAGCACACTTATACCATTAAGATTAAGAATATTCTTGTATTATTCCTAGAGCTTTTTTTTCCTAGAGCTGTCACAGGCACATACACACATTTTCTTATGAAAAACTGAATATATCTGTGTATATACACACACACAGACATATATATACATGTACATGCAGTGTTGGAAGTAATACAATGCTGACTCATTATCAGTGGATCAATAGTTGAATGTGAAAAATGATTCTTTGCATAAAAATACATTTCAATCACTGAATATTTGGCACAAAATCAGAGCTTTTTCTCTTTGAGTAGCATATGCTGAGCAAGTACTGAACAGTTTGTGCTTGGAGGGAGGTAGCCTTCAGTCTTTGCAGGAAGCAACAACTGTTACACTTTGGCTGTGTTGCTTAGAATTTAACTTGAAATACATTTTATCTTCAGCTTTTTGTTTCTTTATTTTTATTTCTCAGCAAATGCCTTTTTGAATTTGTGATACAAGTGTTGCAGATAGCTGTATCTTCAGCGCAGCCTCAGATACTGCATCACATTTAACGACTGTTGGAGATGAACCAGTGCTAAGTAAATTGAATTAAATTTCTGCTCTCCCTGTTTAGGTAACTAAACTAGTTACTAGTAAAAATGACAAGTGTGGCTGTTCATAATCTGTGTTCTGTTGTCTCTACAATGTTTCACAGCTAGTTAACAGGACTCATTAAGCTGTTACTTGCTTTTAGCAATAGTATTTCTTCTGTTGAGATTTGTACAGTAGTTACTGTTTGAGCGAAAGATACTGAATTGTGTACTGGAATTAAGTCAGCGGGATAATTCTGCTAAAGCATAAAAATAACAGCAAGGTACAAAATTTTTTTCTCATGCCAGAAGAAAATAATAAGCTGACACATTCTGATTCAGAAATTCTGTACATGTTAGTTGTTTGATTATATTTCAGTTGCTTATGGATTGAGTACTTCTTTCTGGAGTTTTTGCTAGCTCTAGCAAAGGCTTGGAACCTTAGAGGGTATTGTAGGAAAAGAAAAACCCAATGAAACTGCCACTGGAGTGAAAGAATACCAGAGGCTAGAAAGGTTTGATCAGTGTGAAGAAGAGATGGAACTCTTTAAAATAGGTATGATGCTGGTGCGAAGAGACGGACAAAAAGCACCTAGAAGCATGAAAGCAGGACAAATATAATGTGTTTTAGGTACTGAACTAGAGATTCAGTCCAGTGAGCATGCCATTTTGGGAAGAATGGTGAAAGATCAACCTAGATTACTAGTAAACATGAACTCAGGAAGAAATACAAGAATATCTAGAGAAAAGTTGTTTTCAGAAGAGTGATAATGAAGAGCTTGAGCTCTTCCACTGAGCAGAAAACAATGTAATTATTCTGCTATCTTAAAAGAATGGCATCAAAGCACTGACAGAGGCAAAAGCAAGCTCATAAGGGTAAGAAGTGACGTTTCATTATTTACCCTCCTACTATTGGCATCACTCTTGCTTTGGATTTTCTTGCATTAGTAATAGCTGCTATCAGGGGTCTGTTCCCATTGTGCTGTCAGAGTACAAAGCCTTTGGGGTTTGCGGCTTTATCCTGTTAGTGCTGTAACTGAGCTGCAGCAACTGGCATGGTTGGAGGTGCTAGTGGCACAGAAGAGCTTTTCATCTGCTGCTATGCTCTTATGCAGCAGGGCCACCACATGCTGGGTTGAGGAATCAAGAACACCAGTGGCTGCTTGGCCTCTCTGGAATCTTCATCAGCCTTGAGAACTAGGACAGACTTTGATAGAAGGGACATGAATGGAGTTGTTTAAAGGACAGACTTTCTAGGTGCGTTCTTTCACCCCCTTTGTGACAGTCCAGCACTTAACAAGGCTCTTGGAAATACCCCATGGATGGAGGGTGCATGTTTAATACCAGATTTACTTACTTGAAGATGGTTCATGTCACATGGCATTTCTAGTTTGGAGTGATACAAAGTATACCAAAAACATAAAAATGTAATATTATAATTAATGTAGCAATTGCAGAACACAGATCCTTCACAATACCAGGGTGACTCCCTTTATTGGTCCTTAGGAAATACGTCCTCACTGTCATCATGTGAGGTGTCCTCAGGTGTCGAGAAGGAATGGGGAGAGTTGATCAGTTAAAGCCCATTGTTTTCTTTGAAATTGTTATGGCAGTTGTCTGACTTTTATTTCTATGTATATATTCTCCCCATTCTGGCCTGGTCTTCATTCTTGCTGAAAAAGTACTGGTTGATCCACCTAAACTTTGATAGCCATTTATCCAAAACAAAGGCCACCCCGTGTTCCTTCTGAGTTGAGGTAAAGTCATCTTTATAACTGCTCTGGTTCATCTTTTCCTGAGCTTCAAAAGCACATCACCTTTTTCTGTGTTCTCTTGACCTTATTCCATATTTAGGACTTGTCACATCCATATGAAACCAATCCCAGAACCAGAAGTGCAAGAAAAATACATTTCTTCCTCAACAAACCCTTGGTGAGGTAGGTTTAAAGCACAGCTTCTCTCTGAAACTATGCTCAGATTTCATGTATAACAGGGCATCCTTTTGCTATATCATGTTTTTGTCTACTCCTATATAGGCAGTGTAGAAATTGCAATGCAAAGGAGGCTAAATAGATCCAAATTCAAGTTACTCAGAACTACTGTGAACAGATTATTCTTGCATTGACTTTTCAATGGATTGGGCCACTGTTCAGTTTTGCTCTGTGGGATTCTTTCTGTCCTCTGCCCTCCCCTGCCCAGTGCCAGTGCTCCTTTAATTGCTAATGATGTGAAAGGGCTTAACTGTGTTTTCCCATGTCACATGCATAAATTGGTGTTCTCCGCCATTCACTCTTCATCAGGGAGCTTGTTTGTCAGGAAAAGGTGCTTTAAATTCATGTGAATTTGGAAAGGATCACCTTACAACAAAAGAACACAGATTTTCCAACTATAAAACTCTACCTTTGAGGCAAGCAGAAGTTTACTTGCTTGTCAAATAGGCTCAAATTGGTGTGTGCAAATTCTGCATTTTCTAATGTAGGTAAGGTAAAGGTGATAAGTATTTCAGTTGATAGCTATTTTTTGCTATTGGATATTCTTTAAAAGGACTAAGCTAGGCCATCATCCATGCTCGTGCAAAAATCAGTGTACCTAAAAATTTAATTCTTTTGGGAAGCCTTCACTGTTGTGGTAAGTATAAAAGCATAGAGTATTTAAGATAATGCTTGTTTCTAAAAATTAATACTATATAATCATAGAGGAAGGAGAAATAACGACTAAAATCCTATTGATATGTTTTACTGTGCTTTTTTCACTGTGTAACTGTATCCCAGCAATTCAAATGCAGGTATTTTTTTCCAATGCGAATTCCTGGAAATGTAGAGCCAGAATATTTCTATTTTTTAAATATGTGATAAAAATGTGTTTTAAGAATCTCTGCTTTAATTAAAGATTTTCAGGCAGCTGAGTGTGGTGTTTTTTCAGTGCACATGTGAGTCAGTCTGGTACAGAAATGATGGCTTTGTAATCATACTGGAAATAAAAGAGAAAGAAAACCTTCTGATTATTTTTAATTTTAAACAGTTCACATTTACACTTCTCACTATTCAGTATTTTGTATAAAATCAAATGTAATTTGCAGTATTTTCAAGTGACACACAAATGCATATTGAACTAATAATTATTACAAGATAATATGAAGCTTTATCTTAAAAATACCTTCAGCAAAATAAACTTTCTGTCAATCCAAGTTAAAAAAATATGATTAGAAATATACAGTTTAAAAATAATCAGGATGAACAGTACTGATTAGTCAAGAAATTTTAGACCTTGATAGCCTGTATATGAATTTACATATGACAGTCTGCAAACGATTAATATAAAAATGCAGTACAACAAACTGGTGAACATCACATTTATGTTTTGGTTTTTTCCTATAATCTCTTACTGTTTTAAATCAGCAGTGCTTCCTCTATTGTCATACTGGGGCAAAAAGACAAGGTCTAGGTTAGTGTTTGAAATTTTTGATGCTGTAATGGAAACTAGCAGTTTTACCAAAGAAATTACAACTTTTGAGCATGTAGTATCTTTTGAGTTTAGAATTTGAGGAAGAATCCATATGTAACATATTTGAGGAAAGGATTTCTAAGAAGAATCTCCTAATTGATGATAGCAGGAGTAACTTCATTCAGCTGCTCTGTTGTACAGATATACAAAGGTGATGCAGCTGCCATAACACATTCCATTTTGGCACATAATACTTCACAATTCAGAAAAAATTTAGAAACCAAGAACTTCCTCACCCATGTCCACTCTTCATTCTTGTACCTAAGACACATTTGGTATGGTATATTAGAAATGTTAGACAAAGTAACAAAAATTTGTTACAAACTAAGCAATGCAATTATATGTGGCACAATGAGGAAATGAGTTAATTTTCCATATAAGACTATTTGGAAAGCTCAGATGTAAAATCCCTTTGACACTTAGTGTTTTTCACTAAGATAGTGGGTGGTGGATGGGGTGTCCTGAAAGACATTGATGCTAAACATGCAGTTTTGGTTTAGCTAGAGTTGCTATTGTTTGTGCACTTGCATTATGCAAATTTACTTTTGATGAACCTAGAAGTGCTAATTACTCTGTTGCTTACTTTAAATGAGGCAAATTCTGATTTGGAATTTGGAAGGGGTGAGAAAGAGACAAATTATTTTTAGGTGAAAAAAAATGCTAAAAGCAGCTCAGCCAAACATAGTAAATATTACTAAATCTTTGTTCTGCTTTTCACTTCATTATTTGCATTCCTTTTGCCTTCCAAGATGAGACTTTTGTTCAAAAAGAAGCATAAGCTCATATTTGCACAACAGATCTACTATTGTGGTTACCTGTATGTAAGCTTTTGCACAAAATGGCTTACTAAAAAAACCCACCCAACCAAAAAAAAATCCAAACCACACAGCCTCCACTAGAAAATCCTAACCAAACAAACCAAACTCAAACCCCCCTAAACTGAAATAATCCCAGAAAAACCAAATAACCTCTGCCAAAACAAACAAAGCAACCCCATTGAAAGCCCAAGAAATTTTAATTGCCTTATCGGGATGAGATCAGTCCCTCTCTTTCAGATGCTTTTTATCTAGAAGAAAAGGGTGTGAAAAGGGAAGTTGAAGAAGAAAACAAAATACTTTAAATCTGAGCCTTCAGTGGTCCTTTATTTTGCATCAAACCTTTCTTTTTAATTTGTATTCATGTTTGCAAATTTTGACTATCTAAGCACATGGCTGTTATTTGTAAGCTTTCTTACTTCACATCACATTTCCTCTCCAATTCATGATTCTTTTGTTAGAAAATGTTTTCAAACCACTGTGTAATATTCATATTGGCATTCAAAAATCATCAGCCTAACAGAAGGCTTAGTTTTCATTCAAAAGGATGCAGATTGAAACTAGTCACTGAACACTTACATTCATTGAAATTTCCCCCTCACCAAGGTAATCTGCATCTTTAAAAACTTCAGTTATTCCATTACTAACACTGTAGATTTCTCCATTTCTTCCACTTTGTACTGTAAAAGTCATTAAATCAACAGATAACTGATTCATAAGTAAGGCTATGTGGTAACAGCCCTCATCTGAGGGATATGCAGCTATAACCATCAGCTAGCTGGTGCACAAGAGCACATCAGCTTTGAAATGTCATAATGTGAAAAGTAGTAGGAAAAAAACCACTGTAGTCCTGTGCAGGATAAAAATTTCAGTCTCAAGTAGATTCCTCTAAAAATTATACTGCTTTCTACCAGAGGTAAATTGTAGTTCTTAAAGTGTTAAATGTCAAAATTTTTACCTGCTCCTGAATTCCACTACCTCAGTTGTATGGCACCCTTATTTTCCCTTTTTTTGTGTGCTGCACTCAGTAAGTGTCCCAAAGCACTGTCCATGTGTTATCAAGTGTACCGATGAAATCCCAGGGGAGATTCCTACCTTTTATATATGGTAATTTAAAGTTTCATGTAAAGAGCTTGATAGGAAAAGAAACAGCAATGACAATTCAATAAGACAGCACTGCTTTAAATGGTAGTGGTTTTCCTCCCCTTTAAAATCATACCAGGTTTAAAGCAGTTCTAACTAGTTCAAAGAGCAATTGGTTGTGAAGAACTAAAAACCTGTCACTACTAAAAACAAGTTAATCACTTACAATTAGTTTTTCCTAAATAAACCACACGACCTTTGACAATAAAGCACTCTTTGGTGGACAACAGTTATGTTGTGTACTCAGTACTGCAGCTTCATAAAAAACTTTATACAAAGTAAGAAAGAACAGCCAATCAACACAGGAGAGTACCAATACTATTAGAAATAAAAGCTTTTGTGGTTGATTCTCAGACTCAAGTGAAGACTTCAGCCCGATCTGAACGCACAACACAGATTTATATACTTAAAAGCTCCCACCATCTGGTGATCAGCAGCTAAGTGATTGCCATCACAATTCGTACACATGCATCATACATACGAGCAAGCCCTCTTTATAATAGAGAGCTTAATATTTACACCTGAGTCTGAATGTACGTAGGTTATGTTGGTTTTGAGAAAGTATTGGCATGGTAGAAAAAAGTCTACCAAGCATGTTGACAGTTCATTTTATTCTACAAATAAAAAAGAGATTGTTCTGTTTCATTTTTTACTGAAAAATAGAGCCAAAGTGAACTTCCTTGAATTGCATCAAGTCCCCTCTATATCCCCTTCACTCCTGAATATCCTCTTCAACACTGGTGGCTTATTCAAAATTCAACGCAATACTGTTCTATTCCTTGTGATGGATTGGCTGTTGAAATAAAACATATTTCAGGGAAAAAGTTAAACATTACTTAGTATGTAATTCAAGCAAACATTTCTGGCAAGGTAAAATGAGCAAATGGTACTTCAAAGAAAGAAACAAAAAGTAAAAGTCACTCCATTTAGTAACACAGCAATACTGATTGTCAAGAATGCACAGACTGGTCTGATTGCAGACAATATGAAGAAAATTCTGTTCCATACAGAAATGCAAAAGGGGACTCGAGTACCATAATTTAATTAGGCACATTTGTGTAAAGCATTACTTTTCTTTTTCTCCCTCTGAAGTATCAGACTGCAGGAAAAGTAGGAAGAACACGACAGAAACATATTTTTTTAAAGCTAGGCTTAGATTACATATAGAAAAGTTCTGAAATGCTGCAGGTAGTTTACAGTATTTTAACAAGGGTATAGAAGACTACTTTGTAATACCTGGCAAAGCAAAGGCATATGAGATTTTTAAAGTGTATTCCTCTTCATTAGCTTTTGTGATATTCCTCTATACAACTTTCATACCTTTTCCCCATTATAATTTTTTGTAATAACTTTAACTACATTCCCTTAAGTACCTTTACCTATCAAAATGCCTTTACCACTTAGGATTTCATTTCTTATCAATTGCTTACTACAAATCAAAATTCTGTTCTGTGTGGTGACATGGAAAAGGCCATTTAACTTGTATCTTATGACTCGGTTTGGATGTGAAGTATGCACCTTGTTAAAATACAGACATGAACTTCTCAATAACTGGCAGATTTACAAGGAAGATGTCTTATCTGGAGAAATAAGGGCATCCACAGAGAAATACTGGGGTATGGGCTAGAAATATGATTTCCTGCAGCTCAAAACACAGATATGTATTATGTCCATCAGTACTTTCTTTCATAGAAGGCAGCTCACATCTAAAGATGCTCCACAAAGGAAAAGCAATGAGTGTTATAGATAGGATTGAAATTCCCTATGTTCTCTTTAAAAAGCCAGAATAATGTTTTAGATGTAGATAGCTCTTATCGCTGAAAAATCATTCTGGAGACAATCCATGGTAGTGTCTGCAACAGTCTGAAGGATGAAATGACAAATGAATTCCCTAGCTGTGCAGATTATACTGCATTAAGATGGGTCCTGAGTGTGATTCACATACAAAAAGAATTGACTGATGTGACATAATGCAGTAAATGAGATTGATGTAAAAATGTTGCAAGATGTTTCCACTGGAATGTATCAGAAAGAAAAAGAATAAGGATATACAGTAATGTCAGTGAAGTTCAGTGAAATAAACAAAGTCTTGACAAAGACAGATGGTGTTAGGGCAGGATGTCAATATTGTAGAAATAATTATTCTCTACTCGGCAATCCACTTGATCTGGATTAAGTTCAATGAATCTGAGTACTGTGAGGTAATGCAAACTGCTCATACTTCAAATTAAACTTAAATGAAAAGGCGTGCTTAAAAGAAGACTGATACTTTTTCAAATGGTACAGGAAAATAAAAGGACACTTACAAGACTAACAACAAGGCACTGCATTCTAAATCCATTAAATTATATGGCCACACCACAAGACCCTTCAGAGGGACCAGACCCAATTAGCCCTCTCAGATTATAAAACAATTAAGACTTCTAGAATTAGGACAA